TGATGATATCTCGGTCAATAAATGTACAGTGAAATTTGTCGTTCATTTTCGTAGTCGTAAGTACCTTCCCCTCCTGACGCCATTTTCTGAGGGATTTGGGGGCAGAATTGTGGAGTTGTAGTGTGTAAAGCTGCAGATTCTGTTACACTATATTGGCGCTATAGACCAGAGGGGACGAGGCGTACCAAGCGATGAATCTTACTGCCACAGATACCCACGTTTTAGAAGCGATTATTAGCTTGCTTCGATCCCAAAAATTGGAGGAATAGAGGTAGGGAGAGATCGGTAAATAAGAAGCCAGCAAAAATTCCCCGATTCCTTGTAAATCTCAGAGGATTTTCCTTCGCAGCCTTTTTTCGAAAATTCCCCTTCTAACAATGGTCCGCGTTGTCCTCTTGCCCCTTTCAAAAAGATAAACATATCACCCGAGGAATTTCTCGACTCCGTTACACGAAGAAGTGGTGGAGGCTTTCATTCTATGTTTGCTGTCGGAATTAGCTCTTTTCCTTTCTTTTTTATTCAACCATTTCCTTTATATTCCTTTCTTCAGTAACATTTCATGTGACCTATTTGATCTATTATGTATTTCTGTAGATAAATCATTTATAGGTAAGCGTTGGCAGCGACTTGACTGATGATGGTATTGAGTACACGTGCAGCAAAGGAAAAAGTGAAGGTAGCGTCAATTTCAGTTGGAAGGCCGCCTGATGAAGAAGGAAGACATAAATATAAACGTTTTCATTTCATTCATTGGTTATGTAGAGGGATATGAATACAATAAATAACTACTGACTTTTGAAGTTTGACAGGTTCGCTTCGTGGTTCAACAAGGTCGGTTTCATGATGAGTACCTTTGCAGAAGTCGCACTAGTTGGAAAACACATTACGATACGAAAGAACCACTTAGTGAGACGAAAAAGAATCATCTCCAAAATACTACTACAACAAACGGGTAGTGTCTATCGCTCGTCTGTGTCGTGGAACGGTCGGGGGAATGGTATCCGTCTTCCTCGAGACTACCCTCCTTGCCTCCTTGTCTTAGTCCCAACACGAAGATCACCGTTCCGGATTCCCATCCCTCCTCTAGAGGGAGCCTATCCTGATTGGGTGATCCCGGGGTCCAAGCCCTCTTCTCCCATGACACGATGCGCCGCTCACCGAGGGATGTGAAGTCGGATATATAGGGATATATAGATGGCCAAAGATACAGTGATGATACGGTACCACAAACCTTGTCTGCCGCCACGCGGGTATTCGATCTCCGACCTCAAACTTGGGTAATTAAACTTTATTCAATGATTTTATTGAATTACATGACTAAATACTAAAATAATGCATATACAAGGCTTCCAGCGACAAATGTCACCTAAAATCTACCTTTTTCTGCTGCCGCTTCTATAGTGCAGGTTCTAAGCGGATAGGCAGCCTTATAGTGCAGTGATAGTGCTCCTGAAGATCTAGTTTACAAGCAGAGACAAAAAAGGCTCAATTGAGAAAAAAGAAGGTGAAAAAATGAGTAGCCTACGAGTTTCTCCGCCCCTCTTATATGCAGGCGCCGCGCAAGAATTTTCAACATCTCGGCAGGCTCCTATCTGATAAGCGCCACGACATAGAGAAAGAGTACAGCATTCTTTTAGAAGCAGAATAAGAATGTAACAGCAGATGCATAAG